AAAAGAATATCACAGCCTATAGCACACTGAAAAAATGACTCACTCAAATTCACACTCGCCGCAAGATATATCGAGGCGGGCTGCTGATCTTATAAGCTGAAGGCTCCTGACTCCTGCCTTCAAGCCAAGCTCTTCGCTCAGCTTCTGAGGTATCAGAAGAGGGCCCCAGGCCAACAAGCCACATCCAGCGTCCTATGGCCAGTTGGAAGGCGGTTGGCTTGGTTTGGTTCGGTTTGGAAGCGTGTGTCATTCCTTTGGCCTTGTCTCGTACCTTGGAACCATGCACCATTCCTGCGTGACTCTCCTCCTGGTCTGGTCCACGTTTTGGATCTACTTGTTTGATTTGGGCGGCTTTTTCACCCAGCCTTCTTCGGGGCATGTGGCGTTCCGACCCTGCGTATACGAGGGCATTTCTCCATTTTCGATCGCGGAGTGAGCCCGAAGTAGTGCCCTCCGTGGCGCAGCTGGGTGTGAAGTTGTTGCGCGTACGCAATATAAGGAGAAGGAGTCCATAGCGGAGAGCAGCGGCCATCGATTGCACAAATGCGAGGTTAAGACTTACTGGAGCAGGCGTTTGAGCCAGAAGGAGGCCGAGCCCCACATACTAATTATTCATGTCTCTTTCATGTATCTTCAAGTCTCTCCCTCATCGAATTCCTGCGATCTCTGCTTCTGGCAGCCTTCAACGACTTGTTCTCATGGAATGTTGACTGGTATCATGGTCCACAGGTAATTGAGCTTCATTCATGAAATAGCCATTGAGAAGAGGTGACACAGCTGATTCTAGAGTCACTGTCCGCTTGGGCGCTTTGGCCTCCAGGAGAGGGACCAGTCCACACCCTTCAAGACCTTCTTGCACACATCAAAGGTTTATATTTACCGCTGAATCGCCTTCTTCCAAGAAAGGTAGTGTGTCACTTGCCCGTTGCCACTGGCCTTGAACCCAGCGCCCATGGATCTGAGGCCGGTCCAAGCCCCGCGACTGAAGAGCCAGCAGCCGCTCCCATCATAGAGTGAAGTCTGGTCTGCACGCGGCTGTTGCCCTCCGAGCGGCGGTTCGAGTCAACCAGTATGACTGCGACCCTCCCCACCATCCCCATGACCACTGATTCCACTCTCTCCATTCTTACTCTCTCGTTGGCGGCATCGTAGCCGCAGAAGAAGTATTCGGCCTGCTGCTGCTCATTCCTCAACCGAAGGGGCTGTCCTGGCATCGTCTGGTCCATGGCTTGTGAGCAACCGGTGCCCTGCTACCACTGACACGGTTGCCAGTGGTAGAGAACACTCACATTTCCCTCTTCGGGATCATGTTGAGACAGCTAGTGGGGTCGCCGGAGCTTGAGTGAGTGAAAGACAACATGCAAAGCTTGGTCAAAGATCAAGAGGTGGGAAAATATGAAGCATACCTACTGGCCCGGTGCAGTTTTGGAACCGTGTGCCATTCCATCTGGTCTGGTACAGTCTGGAACCACCTGCCATTCCTTTGGTCTGGTAGCTGTAATTTTGGAACCATGTACCATTCCTACAGGTCTGGTAGTTTGCTGTGTGTGTGTTCCGAACAAGGCTACGGCTTACCAAATCTTGCCAGGCTGCGGGTGTATTTCCGAGTGATGCATTGCTCCTCATAGTCCTGGTAGTAGACTTTGCGCTTGTATGTCTGCTTCCTCGGGGCCACATTCTTGTGCTGAGCCCTCTGTCGAGCCAGTTCAGCTCTCCTCCTCTTCTCTCTTCTCTGGCGCTGTTGACGCTGTCTTCTCTGCCGCGCCCTTTGTTGATTTCTTTGTACTGTTCCTGGGCAACCAGGGTTGGGGTCCGGGAATTGCATAAACAAGAGAATCTGCTTCTGCCCACTGCCAACAGTTTCCTGTCGCCAGGGCCAGGGGAGAATCAGGGTTTGATGTGGCATACGTGGGTCACATCAACTGCTTTCAAGTGAATTGAAAAATATCAGAGGCAAACGCGGCCAAGCGTCTCTGGGCGTGACGGGGGAACTCTAGAAGTGAGGCCTCAACCTGCTCCCACCGGGAAGCAATATAAGGAACTTTCTTCTTGTTCACGCACTCCCATGTCCATTGCGACATGCTCTCCCAATCAAAGGTCATGGCCTCAGGCCCTGCAGGCACTTCAGGGTCCACACTCTGGACACGATAAGGCACCTTACCAAGGCGATACTCAGGACTGGCCCAGCTGATTTCGCCGGTCTTCAAATCACCTGAATCAGCTGATTTGTGGACAGAGATGGACTCTCTGTAGATACCATTCATTTCCACTGGCCCTGCCATTAAGCGGGATGAGGCTGGCAGCGGCAGGCAGCGTTCAGCCTCCTCCAAGTCTGCCTCGTGACAGCAGCACTCTTGGGCGACATGGGATCGGAGCGTGCCTCGGTCCGTCGGTCCGTGAGCAAATGGTAGAAGGGATGGTGGGAGTAAGCAAATGGTAGAAGGGATGGAGCAATGTTCCGCTTCCTGAATGTTTGGGGAAAGTATTCACGCAAAAATCTAAATCTCCAAGTGAGATGCACTCAGCTTTGTCCTCGAGCACCTCTTTGAGCCCTCTTCTGCTCATGCAGTATAACTCGGACTCAGGACCTCCATAGATCTCCTGGCGATTGGCCGTCACGAACTCCCGGGCAGCAGCGGCACTAACCACAGTTCCGTTGTAGTCCAGGCTGTCGGCGATGTCCTCCACACAACACTAAATGCTACTGCTAGGCTATACTCTATATATATAGTTTATATATATATATGGAAATAGTGTATGTGTATACCTATAGTCTACAATATATATATATACACATGCTCTTTAAGATCTACTATAAGTATGGTATTAAGTTCAGAAAGGAATGGCCTGAGGTAATCCGTTCTTTCATTATCTTTGGACCTTATCTGTATAACTTTATATAGACCTTTTCGGTCCTGTTTCCAGCAGTATGTCTAGTCTTCCTGAATATATAAAATCTTTCATGATCTTCATTTTTCAGCAAATGACCTGGGCTAGCTCTTGCCACAAAAATGAAAGCTGTCCTCCAAGTGAAAGCTGAGTCGGTCGAGGGTGAACTCCCTCGATTTTATGACCCTCGTCTCTTCGTCCTGTGCCGCAGGCCCCGCAGGCCCCGTAGGCTGCATAAACGACTCCCCCACCAAGAACATCCAAGAACAATCATTACAAAGCTATAAGAAATTATGAGAATTAAAACAGTCTATATAAGCCAAACCTGCAGACAAGCGGCGTAATCGATGTATTGTCCAGCACGCCTCAAGACTTGGCGCAGGCGAAGCCCAATGGCCTCCTCGCCCGGAAAGTGCACGCGACAGCAAACATCATCAGGTACTGGCCGGACATCGTGCGTGCAAAGGTCAATGTCTTGACCTCCGCTGGGATGAAATGAAGAACGTCAAGCGCAGTGCCAACACAACAAAATGAACTGGAAAAGGGTCAAAAGGGTCTGGCTTACAACTCAGCAACGCTTGTACTTGAAGCCCTTGATATCAAAGATTGAAGTATATGAGAGCTTGCAGCACATGTGCGGCTTCTTGTCTCCAGAGACCTTGTCGGCATGGAAGAAGCGGTAGTAGCTCGGCACCGTCTCGTCAACACGGCGTCAGGGAGCTGCTTGTGCTCGGGGCAGTCCGACAAGGACTCGACCTGCGAGATGAGACTATGTCTCTCCAACATGGGGTCTTTCACATGACTGATTTTGTGGAGATGCTTAGCCAACCACCATCCCAAAGAATCTACAGCAAGCAGGGTTAAGCAGCGGGGTAGTTTTGCACTTGTCAACCTGTCTTAAGTCTCCGACCAAACCGAGAGATCAACTTGAAACGGTCCTCAACGTGCGCTACTAGGAGCAAGGACGCTACTAGGGGCTGCTGGCATCGCTAGTTAGTAGGAGCAGGAAGCTACCAGGAACAAAGGGCATTACTACTAGGAGCATTCTTATTACTAGAAGCATTCTTATTAACTACTAGGAGCATTCTTGCTACTAGGAACAAAGGGCATAACTACTAGGAGCAAGGACGCGACCGAAAACATCTTGCTGAACTTCTGAACACATCCAAAAAGGGTGGCACGATTATCGCTCTTGACGGGGGCCCATCGCTTTTGCAGGTTTCAACTAACTTTTTGACCGAATTCCTGAAATCCACGACAGCTCTTTACTAAATTGATCATAGCGCGTTTTGGCGGTTGCTCGTATATTCATCGGTTGATGGACGGCTTGTTCCGTCGCCTGCTTGCAGTAGCAGCCGAGGTCCCTAAAGAGAAACTCCTTCATGGCACCATCCGCCTCGTGGTACCAAAACGTGTCTCCTCGCGTGAGAAATAGTGAGAACGAATCCAACCAAGCCCATAGAAGAAGGTAGGTCTAATCTCAGAAGGCAGGAACTGCAGGACTGTAGTGAAGAATGTCAAGAGGTCTCCATTGCCTATCTCGAAAGCTAGATATCTATCCATCTGAAAGAATACTTGGATTTCATCTCAAAGTCATGCCCTATCCTTTGGGGGGATTCACTGGATTCACTGCTCAAACTAAAAGATTTTGCGTCGGTTTGGAACAGCGAACTCTTTCGGGTTCAGATCCTCTCACCAAGAAGTTCTCGGACTGGACGACACGGGATGCAAGGCACTGAAGGCTCAGCAAAGCGCTCAGTAGGAATAGGGAGACGAAGCGCCCACGCAGCATGGTGCGACTCGTTGGGATTTACAAATTTTAACAAGCGACAATTCTTCAAAGGTCAACCGAGGTCAACTCTTGAGCCAGCTTTTGCATGCCGTGAACCCCATGAAGCATGCGGCAACTAAAGGGCAGAACATTCGCATCTTCTAGTTTACCTTTTAGACCAGCAAGTGTCAGTGGGGTCTGTCCAGCAGGACAATTCAACATTCTGCACTTGTACTCATAATCCAAAAAAGTACAATGGAGTTGGCATATTTACAATCTTCAATCGCCAACAGCGGGCGCATGCGGGTGTTCAACTGCAGTGCTGCACAATGCAGTCGTTTTGTTCTGGATTTACACGCTGAAAGTTGATCCAAGAGGAATCCTGAGCTTGGATCATTCTGAGCAATTAGCGAAGACTTGTGGCATCTTGTGACCTGAACAAAAAAAGACTCGTCAGATTTGCACAGCTTTTGGACTCCGACGACATCGGCTCCAATCTGTCCAGACCTGTCATGTCGCCAGGTGGTCAGCTCCACCCTCACTCAAGCGATGCGGAGCGCGCCTGGCGAAGCTTTGCCCTTTTTGCCGGCTTTGCCACCTGGACTGCAAGTCATTTGAACTGAAGTCATGTCTGGAAAGCCCATGGATCTGATCATTCTGGCAAAGCTCCCTTAAAGCTTGACTCGCATCAGCAATTACAAAAAGAATGTGCTTTTTGGTTTGCTCGCTTGCTTGCTGTTGTTTGTTTGTCTGTTTGTTTGCTTTTTCATTTATTTCTTTTATTTATTGCGTATCTTTCGTCTTTCGTGTAGTTTTTTTGCTTTTCATGTCTTTTCTCTATATTCTTCCTTCCTTCCTTCCTTCCTTCCCTCCCTCCCTTCTTTCTTTCTTTCCTTCGTTCTTTCTATCGTTTTCTTTAGGCCTGTAGACTGTAGACCTGTCCTTTTCCTCCCTCCTGTATCAACAGTTGATATGGGTTCCGAAAGGTTTCAAACTGAGAAAGACTCTTGCGGCGAGGCACGTCCACTTTGTCCTCGACGGCCGTCACCCTGGCACAAAGGCCACAGAGTCAGAACCCTTCAATCTCGAACATATGTGAAGAAGGGCGTTTGGACCGAAACAACGATTGGTGACACACATATATAATATAATATATATATATTATATATATATACATTATATATCCAAGAAATACGGGCTGACGTATTCGCGGGAGATGCGAGGACCAACGGGTAAACACTATACTGCACATAACATTGAAAGGAGTCAAAAAGAAGAGGGCTCGTAGCTGTGCGAAACACTGAAACGCCTTGTGTGAACAAAGAAAGAACTTGAACAATGCTGGGACAAAGCAAAGTCGGCTCAGTGACACCAACAAAAAAATGTGACAATTTCACTTTCTTCCCTGTAGAGTAGGAATATCCCAACAGCATAATGTTGGGAGAAGAGCCCAGGAGGAAGTGTTCGCGGACGCATTGTGTGCTGTGCTTGAAATCCCGAAAACATCCGAAAATCATGGTTTTACCCAGCCTGGCCCTTTCCGCCTAATATCACATCGGCACAAAACACGTTGAAGAGCCAAACACCAAGCTGAGAGATTGACTGTTTCTGGCTCTGTTTGCCACCTCGATTGGCGAGGGAGAAAACGTGACCAATGCGCAAACAAGCGCTCGCTCTCTCTCTCTCTCTCTCTCTGTCTCTCAAGCACTTTTGTGCACTTCACCTGCAGTGACGCTAAGCCAACTGCAAGTAACTGTGACTCCAAAACTCCGGCAACTCCGAGCGACTGACCCTCTCACGGATAAAGTCCATGATCATCGCTTCAGCTCGATCCACATTTTCTTTTGCTCCAGACAGGAAGATCACCCTGAGTGCCCAAGATGCTCACAAATTCCCCAAGCATATTGTTTCTTGTTCCAGAAGCGCCTTTCTTGTGCGGTGTCAATTTGATCTTTGGACACCTGCGAACATCACTCCAATTCCCAAGACCGGTTTCACATCACAAAGCTGCTTCCAGTCCCAAAGGTCTGAGCCACTCGCACCTCTATTCTTGCACCACTCTCAGTGCAGAAGCGCTTAATGGTCTCCCCACCACGGCCTCCAGAACCAGAGGCTGAAACACGACGAAGACACACTCACAAGGCTCGTGCCAATGATCGCTCCAATGAGGGAAGAAGGTACCTACATGGTTTTCCGGCATCTCAGACATTGAGAAGATTTGCAGTGCAGTTCGCACACTCAGCATCTTGTTGACATCGTCAGGCTTTGGACCTGAGACAGCGCTGTTCCAAGAGCAGTTTAAGTCTAAATTACCCAAGACGCAAAATGCAACTTGCTGGCCTCCTTTACCATCCTTTCCGCGCCCTTTCCTGGAAATCAATCAGCGGCTTCACTTCAAGCAACACAAGTAGGTCACTAGGTCAGCATTCGACAGGCCCGCCTTCCAAGAGCCGCCTCTTGTGTTGCCAGCACACCTAAGCTGGATCAGGCGAATAGAAATCCAGGCGTCTTGGTCATCTGCATCTAGATGGGTTAGCCTCTAAAATAACACACAAATGGAAGATTCCATGAATGCACGGTCTGCTCACGGCCAAGCTCACTACGCTGCAAACCCTGAACTGGCCCCTCGTCCACGTGTTTGGCGCTTGACAATTCAGGTATTGCTCGCTTGTGGAGCCAGCTTCCAAACCAAGATTCGTCGCTTGACGTGATCGCTTGGCCGGGACCAAA